AAAATAAATAAATAAAAACGTAAATATAACTTGAAGTAAATAAATAAATAAATAAATAAAAACGTAAATATAATTTGAAGTAAATAGATAAATAAATAAATAAATAAATAAATAAACCATAAAATATAATATTTCGTTTTTTTTTAAAATCGATTATTTTCAAAAAGAAAATTTCGAAACCCAAAGATTGCCATTTTCTTCATTTCTTACTTTCACTTCAAAAATATCGACGAAATAAATTTGTTATTTGTCACACAAAGTAGAACAATGGGATTCTTTCTACTTTTTTAAAAAAAACTTTTCTTCACTTTTTCTTTCCTCTTTTTTTCATGTTGCTATTGCAAAAGGTTAAATTGTGAAATAAAGAGAGAGAGAGAGAGAGAGAAAGAGGAAGGGAAAATAGAAGGGAAATTTTGGAATAACTGAAAACTGCTAATTTCAAGGTCAAAAAACTTTTTTTGACAGTCATTAAACAAAAAAAATGAAGAAGAAGAAGAAGAAGAAGGAAAAAATGGATAACAAAATATTATGAAAATTTTAGGCTACCTTTATATTAAATAATATGGGAATGAAATAATGATGATATGGAGAGATTATTTATTTCACTAATATTGTTGTGTTTATGTTTGCAAATATTAGTAAATAAATTAATGTATTAAAAATAAATTTATGTGTTTATGATTACAAACACAACAATATTAGTATAATAAAGAAATTAATGTATGAAAAATTATTAGAATAAAATTAATGTATTAAAATTTCGGTTAGTATTTAAATTTCATATAATTTCAAAAAAAGTTCTATTAAAGAATAAAACATTTTAAATACAACAAATTATTTAAATCAATACGATTGAATTTTTCATTTCAAAAATGAAAGTTTTCAATTTAGATTATTTCGTTATAAATGAAATGATATATCTATCTGATATTCATAAAATAAAATATTATGATAATGAAAATTTGAAAAAAAAAAGAAAAAAGAATAAAATATTGCCTATTACAAGAATGTTTAACATTCATGGAATGAAAATCATGATAATAATAGCATGATAAACGAAAGAATGAGATGAAAATACAATGATAACGATATATTTGAAAAGAAGGAAATACTGCTATCATAAGATAAAAAACCACGATAACAGTAATTTTAGTAAGAAAATCATTTTTTTATCTTTTTTTTCTTTTCTCCTTATCTTCTTCACTTTTTGTTTCTTTTTGAATGAAATTATCAACCTAAATTTTGCTCTAAATTTAAAAAAAAATTTTAATCGTAATGAAATTTAGGAGAAATTAATTAATTCATTAACTAAATTGATAATGATTGAAGAAGCTACGAATGATTTGTACAAATAAAATTTTCGCAACTGTCCGATATATACTGCGCCATAACAGTTGCATGAAAATTTCACCACCATTCGATATATTTTTCATATTCTCTTTTTAAAGGTTAAAAATTAACGCACTTATGTTCAATGATTTCAATGTCCTTTTTCATTTTTAGTAATCGTTTATATCGTGAAAAATTTCATAGATAAGTTATAAATAAATAATTATTTAAATAGGTTATTATTTATAAACTTATCAACGAAGTAAATAATTATGTTATCAAACATTGCTTTTTTTTATTTGTTTGTTTATTTTCTTACTTATTTATAATTATTTATTTGTTAATACTAAAATGATAAAAGTCAATATTTTATCAATGATTTTGAGTATAGTTAACAACAACAAAACAGCAACAACAAAAGCAAAAGAATAAATAAGAAATGTAATTATAAACAAACTGAATAAATTTGCTGAAACAAATTGATGATGATATGTAAAATTTTAATTGATCAAATTTTAATGCCAATTAAATCATCAAATTTTAATGCAATGATACCGTATAAAAGATCTAATTAGAATTTTTGATTGTATTAAATTTTAAAATTTCATTTAGTTGTCATTCATCCTAAAGTCACAAAATTTTAAATGAAAAAACAAAAGCGATATTTGCTGGAAAAAAGCGACATAAATTTTTCGTTCTTATTAAAAAAATTCGTCGTCGAATGAAATTAGCAAAAAAGAGAAATTTTTCGTTGAAAATTTCCGGAACGTTTTCTTTTAACTTTTTATCGATCATCAAAAAATGCGAAGAGATAATTAGTCAGGTATATGTTTGAAATTAGATCAGTAATAACGAAAGAATAAATGGATCAAAATGAAAGAAAGGATATGGAAAAAAAAACGATCTTGAAATAAGAAGATCCATCAATATGAAACTGGCACATTTGAAATATAAGCATTGGAAATGGAGTCAGCTCAGTTTTTGTGAATGCTTTAAATTTAGTATTTCGTATAAGTTAGATAAAAATTTGAAAACGAAAAGTTGTCAATGAAACTTTCTTCTCGGAGAGAACAATTAAACTATTATTAGTTTAATTCAAATCGGATAATTTCATTTTTTTCTTCTTTATAAATTTTCGAAAAATGTTGATAAATTTAGCAGAAAAATTTCTACAAATATTATGTAAATATATCAATGAAGGAAATAATGATGAAAATTAATGAAACAAAAGAGTTTTCATTTTAATTTATATTGGAATAAATAATCGAAAAAAATATATTATAATTTCGATTTACTCGAAAACATTTTTATTGTTATAAAAGTAATGATAACGAATTGATATTTCAGGAATACATTTTGATAATTATCATTCAGATATGGAATAAAATTATTAAACGAATCAAATTTATCATCAATATTATTTAGTATTCATATGAGTAATACTATTATTAATATTAATTAATACTATTTGAAAATCATTCCATTTTTATTTTTTACATTTCTTCATTTCTATTTCTTTCATCTTCTAAAATTTATTCCATTTGATACTATTTAATACTTGTCTTCACAACATTGCAATACTTTCTTTTAGAAAAGAAAAACAATGATTGATATCCGATGATAATGATCTTAATTGTTATTAGCAAAAATGAAATTATTCAAATTTAACAATTTACTTTGATCACTTAATTTACTTAATTCATTATTGCTACAATTTAGTTTTAAACTTCCATAAATTTTTATTATTGATAAAGAAATTTTTGAAAGATTTTTCAAATTATTACACTTTTTATAAAAGAAATTTAAAGAAACAAAGGAGGGAGAAAAAGAGAGAGTGAGAGAGAGAAAGAGAATAAGATAAATGAAAAGTAAATAATGGATGATGTTGAAATTTCGACGATGTAAAATATCATTATTACTTTTTTGTTTTATTTCTCGAAAGAAATTTGCAAAGTTTTTAAATGTTCAATTATTTGTTTTAAAATGATGAAAAATTCATCATTAATTTGTTTAATTTTAATTTGCTATGTGAATGTTATTAGAAATGTATTTATATAATTTTCATGAAATAGATGAATAATTTTCAATAATTATTGAATATTTCTCCTAAAGCAATTTGTTGCTCTTTTGTTTTTTCACTTCAAATAATTATTTAAGAATGAAGAAGTTTGATGCATTCCTAAATTTATCAACAATAATATCAATATATATTTCAATTAATGATTGCTGAATATTACTACTAAAGTAATTTGTCGCTCTTTTGTTTTTTTCACTTCAAATAATTATTTAAAAACGGAGACGTTTGAAACACTTCAAATAATTATTTAAGCCTAAATTTATCAACAATAATATCAATTTATATTTCAATTCACCCTAATTAAAATTTATTAAAAAAAAAAGAAAGCAGAAATTTTAATTAGTATCGCAAATAAAGTTGTCACCTTTTTTATCTCAACAAAATTAGGAATATTTCGTTGCTTTCTTTTTCGTTTTCTTTTATTTTAAAATGCAACAATTTTTCTCTTTTTTTTTTCCAATGATGTATTTTCAGGTTTTAATTTGAATTTACCTGAAATGACAATAGCCTAGACGAATGTAATTTATAATTGGTCCATTAAAGATTATGAATCTATTGAAGAAGAAGAAGAAGAAGGACAAATAAAACCTGTTTATTATAATTGTAATATACAATTGTCATTGCTTTAACAAACAAAAATTACATCAAACAATTAAATCTTTCACAATTTCATTTTTATTGTTTCATAAAAAACAAAAAAAAGGAGAAAAGGAACAATTCGTTCATTTTATAAATTCATATTATTGAATTTTAAAATTTCAATTTATCGAATTATTAAATTTGTTGAAATTTAAATTAAACCTTTTAATTCGTTTTGTTGAAATTTAAATTTGTTGAAATTTAAATTAAAATTTTAACTTTTTTTGTTCAAACAATTAAAACAAAAAAGTGAAATTTATTTGACGAAAAAATTTAATTTCCACATTTTTAATTTATGAAGTTTACTTTTCTTTTTATGTTTTAATTTAATTTAATATAATTGATATTTTGTGTAATTTTTCTTTCTTTAAAAAAATTCATTAATATAAAATTTAATTTCAATTCATTTAAGATAAACAAAAAAAAACAATATGATAATTCATTTTAAACTATAAAATAAATAAATAATAATGCACACGAAATATGAAATGAAAAAAAGGTATGCACAGTAAATAAGCAACATAATAATCCCGTAACTAAATAAATATAAATAAAGAAATTCGTTGTACGGTAATATTTGTCAAAAAGGAAAATGGGTGGAATAAAGCGGGGCGGGGGAAAAGAGAAAGGGAAGCATATACAATCAATATCCCAGAACTTTCGGTACGAAAAATGAATATATTAAGAAATAAGAAATAGGGTAAAAAACGAAAAATCTGTACACAAGCCTCATTCAAATACTTTTTAATGCAAATGATTCATTCTGCAACTATGCAAGAATGTGAAATATTTTTTCCACAAATTTTTCTCAATATATTCACAAAACAATGATATCAATTAATTAATTTGTGTTATCAAAATTTCTATAAAATTTAATAGAAGAAAAATGAAATTAAGAAAAAAAATTTTGAGAAGCAAAAAATTTTAATTAATTAAATTTAAAAAGCATAAATAATTAATTATTTGTCGACGAATGAGGATGTATAGATGCTGCGGAAAGTGTTAGTGCTGTATTACGTTGTCGTTTCGTTTGTAATCGTTTACGCCTTTCTGCTTCAACATCCGATAATACTTGTTGTTTACAGTCATCAATATTTTCTATTATCGTTTCCTTATTATCAACTTGATTTATATCGTTTGCAAGTTCCTAGAAGAAATATGTGCTGAACTTTTTTACTTTTCCGATAAATTATCATAAATTTTACGTATCATAATAAAAACTATTATAATATGAATGAAATTAATTTAAAGTTGTAATTAATTTTAAATTATATTAAAACTATAAAACAACACTTTGTATTGATGAAGTTGTTGTTTGATCGTTTTGATTTCATTTTGTTGATCTTGAATAACTTGCATCATTGCTTTAAGATGATTCATTAATGGTGCTGCGATAGCGGTTAACTTATAACAAGCAACTGTTGGTACATCATTTTCAACATTATCCAATTTAAGCACTATAGCACCACTATTCGAATCATCCATATCTTTGCGTGCACTTAGACCTTCAACCTTTTTTTATTTTCTTCTATAATAAACAAATAAATAAATAAATCGGTTTCATTTACCGAATTTTGAATCGAAAATTTCGGATATTTAAACAAATGACTTTCGATTGAATAAATCCATAAATAATACGATCAAAAATTAGAAAATCAATTCGCATAATTTTTATTGCTTTTAAACAATTAATATTTAATGAAAATTAAGAATATAAGAAGAAATTAATTTTTTTGCTATCGTAAATAATAAACAAAAAGGAAAGAGAAGTGATATAAATAAACCTTGATTTATTGCATCAAGTAAACGATTCCCATGTACAATTGCGCTCATCGCTAATTCTTGACCATCACGTTGTTTCAGTTCCGTAACACTCATACCCGTTAGTTGTTCCGTTAATTTTTCCAATTCAATAAGATTACTCTTCTAACAATAGAATGATAACAAAATTGATAAGAATGATAAGAATGTATGATAAGAATTTTATATTTCAACACAAATAATATCATTTTTATCATTATCAAAAAAAAAAATGATATTAAATTTTATAAAATTTAAATAAATTTTCTTCTTATAATGAAAAAAAGTGCAACAAATAAATAAAATGTTTACATTAACAAAAAATTTAACATTTTAAATGTTTATGTTAAGAAATAAAAACAAAGAAAAGTAAATAGACAAACATTTGTTCCAGGTAGAAATTCGGCCAATATTGTTTGCTTATCAATTAAAGCTTTCATAATTAATTCATCATTACGTCGTAATCGTTCTGTTGGAGTTAAAATTGGTTGAGCATGTTCAAGGATTGTAGGTTGTTGGATTGTTATTTCATTAGCATTAACAAGTCGTGGATGTGTGGAAATTTGTACTCTTTCACAGAAATCCATATCTTCTTGATGATACTGTCCACCACTATCTGTTGTATTGATACCGAATGAGCTAGAAAAAATTTTTTTTCAGAAATTATTATTTATAAAAAGCTAATCAATACTTTTGGAAATATTATAATAATGGTATTTTTTAGATATTATGAAACTAGTAATTAAATTAAATTAAATTATATAGTAGTTAAATTATAGTAATTAAATTAAATTATAAAGGTAAAATTAAAATATTGATAATTACCCGATAGTATGTTGTGTATTAATATTTTCACATTTGACGAGATCAATTTGATCTGAGATCAGTTTGAACCACCTAAAAATTATCAAACATTTCTTAAATCTATCAGTTACAATAACATTTATTAATCGATTATCGGCGAAAAAAAAAATCAGCGATATTTTCACACAATTCAGAAAGTTGAAAAAAATATAATAATTATTTAGAAGTTATCCGAATAACAATAAACAACAACAATAACAATATTGCAATTCATACTGCATTCATTCAATAGATATTGGCATACATTTAACCATAACTTAATTTTACATGAATTTTATAAAAATTAAATTTCATTCAAATATCCTAATTAAGTACAACAAGCAAACATTATTTCACATTTCAATCAATTTTCTTATAGACACAAAAAGTAAATAAATAAATAAATAAATAAATAAAAGAAGTAAAATACGTTTTCCGTTCGGTAGCAGTTGTAGTAACCAATTCATAAATTTGTGCACCACGTTCCATTGTATTTACAATAAACAAAGCCCTCTTATCATTTGCTTTCTCCTTAGCAATTAATGTTGTCAAAGGTAATATGGGAGACCATCGTGTATCTTTTGTTGGCTCCTAAAATCTTAACTAAAATGATTTACTGCGATAATAAATAAAAACTAAAAATAGATAGCAATGACTGATATTTTCGTATGTTAGCTAATATAATTTTTTATTTAAAGAAAAAGTTCGAATTAATGGAAAAATTTCAAAAAGCTATTCAAAAATGAAAATGTAATTTACCAGATGGTGTTCAAAATTTTCTAAAATTATGAATGAATAATCATAATCATTTTATTCAATCAATCATTCAATTCTTCGTTTTATCATATGTTTTTTTTTTCTCTTATCAGAAATAATTTCAATTTTGCTTTCTTTTAATCACAATTGCATTCTATTGTTTTTTTTTTTGATAATTATTTATTGCAATTCAAAATTCATTGTAAACGAGAAGTGATAGCAAAGCAAATTGATATCGACAATATTATAATAGCAAATAAATCTTGCACTCTTTTTCATCAATTATCAGTATTTTAAATTCCTTTATGTTATACATCATTTTATGATTACGTGATTTTACGTTACGAACAAGTATTATTGTAAGTGTTGTATACGTGAAAGCATTGATTTATTTTGAACTGTCTGCTATACTATATAATTTGAGCTATTACGGATATTGCGTTAATACTATAAAATTTGTTTCAATCAGTGACTAAAGTTAGCACTCCAAAATTTTCCACCAAAAAGATTGAACCTGAACTTTCAAAAGTAATTTGCTCCCATCACCCGTTTTTGTTAGCAATATTAGCACATTTTCGAGAAGCACAACATGCAATTCGACCATTTTATTACGACTACAACGCCAAGTAAGTGGTCCATCATGGATTAGCTTGTAGCTGCAAGTACATTTTATTCACTCCATATCATATAATAAAGATTTTAAAATGAATTCAATAAAATTTCAAAGATTCATACAACAACAAAAGAAGCATACTTTGTCAGATTGAAGGAATGAAAGTCACTGCCGAAGTTTTCACGATCGTGTGATGTTGTAACTAAACGTTTCTGCAACTCTTCCAATCTTCTCAAATTTTCAGCATTTCGTTTCGCCGTATTCACCGCTAAATTTTGAATGGAATTAATTCTTATAAAATGAAAAAAACAAAAACCAAAATTTGCTATTCATAAAAAAAATGGTCATCCATCATTTTTTCAAAAAATCCAAAAAGTTATCCGTAGATGAGATTTAATCAAATAAATGACCCGAAACGTGATAACAGAAAGTGAACCTGAAAGTATCCTCTTAGCGGCATTGACACTGTTCAGAATTTTTGTTTGCTCCTCAGATGGTTCTTGCGTATACTTGGCGATAGTTTCTAGTAATAAGGGATATTTGACAAGCCTTTGCATCTCAACCGGAAGCATATCTTTTAGTTGTAACTTACGACACAACGGATTGCATTCAGCTTCGATCAAAAATCTGCTCAAATGATCGTCCTTCTCCTTTTTACACCTATCAGTATTACATTCTTTGCATTGATTCATGAGATAGCTTAATATTAATTATCATCCAAAAAATGAATCTCTTAATTTACCGTTGCCTTAGGATATCTAATGCATGCTGTTGATGTTGACAAAATGTTGCAGTTGCTTCCATTAATTTTACACCGTTTTCACCATCGAATAATTCTTCCATCAGCAAACCAACATCACCCAACAAACCGTTCAAATTACAATCACGTTTCCATTCCTCTACCATATTCCTCATCATCCTGGAATGTTACAATAATGGTATAATTATTTTACTTAAAGTAAACTTAATAATTAATGTTTATTTATCGCGAAATAATTTCTATTAAAAGATTCTCGATGAAAACCTGAAACGCCTAAAAGTCCTGCATCTCTCCTACTTGTAATATCTACGTTCCTTTGTCTAAGTATAGCTAACAAAGTATCAGCATTAGGCATATAAACATTACTTAAGGTGTAAAAACAAAGCATTACCTAGACATATTGCCATGCACTTCTAGCAGTTCATCAAGATTAGGGAAGAATAATTTGATAACTTCTGGAGGTACAATATTTAGCAGAATCATCGGTTTGTAAAATACCATATAAAGTATTTTCAAATTTCTCACGTGAGTTCTTTCCGTATGAAAAAGCTCTAAAGATGAAATTTAATTAGAATAAAAACATTTGATAGTATTCGTAAGACAATGAAATATATCCAATAAAAATATTTCAATTCTTGCAAAATTTATTGATTGGAATAGCGCTGAAAAACAACAAATTTGTTTATTTAAGAAAATTACATGTAATGATATAATTTGAAATAAATTAATTTTCATTTTACTATTTGATTATAAATGAAGAAACCATTGATAACTTCCTGTCGTTTCTTTTCTTTTGGTTTCAATCGTCGTACAATTTCCCAACCAGCAAAACTTTCCAACGAGGGTACTTCAGTTTCAACCTATAACAAAATTTTATAACACCGTTATGAAATTTCAAAATAGTTACCTAATAAAACTAAAGTGTAAAATTTTAGAATTAAAAATTTTTATGCCATCAAGGTAGAACTGATCAGATTTTAGTAATAATAATAATAGTAATAATAAACAATAATATTAAATAATAATAATAATAGATAACCTCTAAATCACTATCTCCATCAAAAACAGCATTTTTCTCAACTTTATCTATTAATCTACGAACTTCATCGTCACCTCCGGAAGCATGGGATACGGATGAACTTCCTGAAATCATCAGATTTCTATAAGCTTTTTCAAATTTAACCATGATAACATCCGAAGAATTAAGTAACGGTGATAAATTCATTAATTTCCACAATTTTCATTAGAATTCATATAACGTAAAAATGTATGATAGTTTCACCTGATAACGAAACATCATCAAGCGGACATCTGGTTAATGTAACCAGTGATGCTTTATCTTCGTTGTCCATATCGCTTCGTGCCCGTCGCGGACGTTCTTCACCTTCCTCTTGTGGTGCTAATGCGCCTCCCCAAGAAAATGCCGATCGACCACGTCGACCATCTTGTATTTCATCACCCTATATTACGAAAAGTTCACAGTGATAATTAACAAAAAATTCATTTCAGTCCTAACCTAAAAATATCAACTAACCCGAGAGCGCATGCTTTGTGATCGGGATACTGGTTTTTCCATATCCGTACCAATTCCAGAATCCGAAGAAGCAGATTTAATGTTATCGACTCTATGTAATTCCTAAAACTCTTACTAAATGAAGCAAAGATAGATTAGAGAGATAAAAATTCTAATGATCTTAGAATAAGAGCATTCATTAATAATGCTCAAATTTTTTTAGCACCGAATCGAACCTTATCGGTGACAATCGATATTGCTGAATGCGTTTGATCTGCTAATGAGCTACTACACTCAAACGATTCACTCCCACATTTTCCACCTGAACTAGTACGTTTTGTTTTGTTTGCTCCGGTTTTCTTTTGAATTGCCGGATAACAGTGATCAGGAAGAGAAGATGTACATTGCTTATGCACAACAACATCACAATCTAAAATTATTATTAAGCTTTATTTATCATAAGCTATCGTAAAACAAATCAATAAAGGGTAAAAAAAATGTTTATAAAAGATAAGATGATAATTTACGGCAATTTCTCAAATATATATTAAATTAATTTTATTTAAATAATCTAATTTCATTAACTTATTGATATGATATTACAATAAAATGATTACTTTGACAAAAATACGCTTGAGCATTAACTCCCCATATAGCATCACGACATTGATAGCAATAAACGGTTAAATTAACCGGTGTTAACATAAATTGATGGCCCTTAATTTGAATTGATCGTTTTGGTACCATTTTCATCCTGAACATACCAACCTTATCCTTGGTAACAAATGTTGGACAACGATCCAAAATTTTTTCGTTCGTATTTGATCGCATATTTAATACAACCTTAAAGAAATGTTAATTATGTTTAAAAAAAATTTTAATATCTTTGTAGAATTCATAATTTTATTAAAAAAAATTTTTTCAAATAAAAAAAAAAGGAAAATAAACAAATAAACAAAAATAATACTAAATTATCATCATCATCATCATCATCATCATCATCATCATCATCATACGAAATAACTTTTAACATTGTTATGACAGTTGAAAAAGAAAGTTGAAATTGTATGGATGAATAATAAAAGAGGCTGTAAGCATTAGGAAAGAATCAGAAAAACATTAATATGAGCTTTAAAATAGAGAACATAACATCAATTTTGTTGATTTTGGCCAAGAGGGAGAGGAAAAAAACGAGAAGAAAAGGGAGAGTTAAATATTGAGACATTCAATTGTATTTAAATTTGATAAATTTTCCCGACTAAATGATAAAGTTTCACAAAAGTTTGCTTTAATGATATGTATGATATGTAAATATATATTAATGATATACTTTAATGATATATGTATGATACATATATATTAACGATATACTTTAATGATACATTTAAATATATATGATAAATATATTAATGATACACTTTGATGATATATCTATATATGATATATGTTAGTGTTATACTTTAATGATATATGATATATATTAACGATATAGTTTAATAACATATTTAAATATATATGATAAATATATTAATGATATATCTATATATATGATATATGTTAGTGATATACTTTAATGATATACATATATGATATATATTAATGATATACTTAAATTGATAGATATATATGCTTCTTTGTAAAAACTTTCAAACTAAACTAAATGTTGCTAACTTTTTCAAATAGGAAATTCTGAAAAGTGTTAATAAAATGAAACGGAAATATACATTCATCCGATATGTGCTATAATAAATTCATATAACAAAACTAATATAAAACAAACCGTGTATGAATAAATTTAGCTAAAAAGAAAAGATTTCTTTTTATTTTAATTATTCCTCTTTTTTCAAATTTACCTTTATAATTGTAGCAAGTGCAGAAATAATCGCCAATGATCGTGATTCACAATTTTCCAAATCTTGATTAATCGAATTTAACAGATTTTCCAGTGAGCGTATTAGAATTGCTTCACCTACCCGTGTTTCCATTGCTGTATCACCCTTACTGATATATGCCAATTGATTTGCATCAAATAAACTTCCCAAACCTGTATATTCTAAAAAGTTATTTAAATTTCTTTCATTGTTTTCTTTTCCTTCTTCTTTACTAAAATTTTCACGAAGTCTTTTTTTTTTTTAAAATAATTAAATAAAATCAAAAGGAAATCATTGTAGCAAATATTTCGCATTTGAGGCTTTTTGTCAAATTGCAAATTTATTCGATGAAATGTAGGAAAATCAAATTTTCGTAAAAATCTATCAAAGTTTATATCGGTTGTCAATTATGCAACAATAATGCTAGCGAAGATCGGTTTAATTTATCCTGTAGGATAAAATTTCAAAAATCTTTACATTTACCGCTTAATGAATTCCAAAATTTCTCTGATAAAATATTCATATATTGATCAAATTATTTATTACAAAGAATTTCAAAAACAAAAGGGAATAATGGCTATAAGAAAAGAAAAAACGAAAAATGTTAGATAATAGATGGATATGGGAATATTAATAATGATGAAATTTCTGGATTAGTCCATCGAGATGAAATCCGTTCCCATATTGGCTGTCACAAATTGCTTCTGGTAACTTTCCAAGTTTAAAAATGTTGAAAGTTACCATTAACAACATTTCTCATCGATATATGATTAATAATAGAAAATAAAAAAAAATTTTTGAAAAATTTTTTGCATTTATTTATTTAAGAAAAAAAATAATTGCATGAAAATAATTATAACCTATGAGACGTTTTTGACGAAAATTCGCCAAATGTTCATTAATATCATCTAGTGATTTCTTTCTTGCAGCACCAAATATCTTTATCAGTTGATCAATATCATTATCGGTTGCTTGTGCAGTTGCTACTAATATCTAAACAAAGAATTATAATTACTTTTTAACGTATCACAATAAAATGCAAATGAAAAAAAGATCCCAGATAATTATTTGATTAGAAAAATAAAAACGGAAAATTTAAACTGAAACCTTATCCATGCTTCGAATTAACGATTGATCAATATTATCCCATGAGAGTGGAGAGTTTGGTATGAGAAAAGTCGAAAAAATTTCATACGCCCATTTTCGTAAATCTTTTGGTAGAGCATTTGAATTTTGATAAGCATCCGTAATTAGATAGAAAAACTGAAATTTTTTACTAATTAATTTTTCGTATCTCTTTTATTTTTATTAATGAATTATTTATGAGAGAATTTTGGATAAGTTGAAAAATAAAGTTGAAATTTTCGTCATTTCTAAAAAAAAATGTAATCAAAGAATGTGATTATAAAAAAACCATACAACACTGCTTGGATTGGCATTTGTTAAAAGATAGTTGATGAAAGCGGCTAAATGAGCTGGATGCTTTTTGAGGTCAGCAAAATTCAAGAAAGGTTTTTGAGTTTCAAGCTGCAAATGAAATTTCATTTAATGAATGACGAATAATTTCCTGATAAATTGATAAAAATTTTGATGACAGAGGATAATTTATAAAAATTGATGGACGTAAAAAATATATGAAAATCGAAATAACAAAAATCAGAATATCCAGTAAATAAGGATAAAATATGGAAGAAATTATATATTTAATTTATGCTGTACAAAAAAATTTCTGATATTCAAATTTTAACTTATTTCTAAGAATTTCTTGTTAAATTAAACATTTTGATGAATAATTGATAGTACTTATCATTATCTTATCTTATCCAAAATGTTTCAGTAATATCATTCATATCTTTTTATAAATGTTTTTGTTTCATTTTCTTTCTTTTCAAATAGTTTTAAAAAGATTTGATTTCTCTTTTACTTTTAAAAATTAACAAATTTCCAAATGCTTAAAATTTCTTTTCCTTATCAAAATAAATTGCTTATTGATAAGAAGTAAATATGATTACTTCCAGTTTAGACAATGAAGTAATCAATTCTCACTAATTAGTATAACTTATGAATGCGAACATCAAAAGTTTGATATGTATTAATAAAATAGCAATGAAATATTCATTGTTCTAATAAATATATGAATTGAATTACTAAAAATTTATTTAAAACTTACTTAAAAACTTAATTTGCATAATGCAAGTGAAATATTATTTTTGTAATAATAAACAAAGTGTAGAAAAGAATAAAAGTAAAGAAATAAAGTAAATCTTAAAAAGTAAATATATGAAAAAAGTAGATAAATAAGTGAAAATGGTAGATGAATAATGATTTACTAATAATTATGATAAAAATTTTTAATTAAATTTTAAAAAGTAAATTATTAAAAAGCATAAATTGCTGATATTTGATATGATAAGTTGTTTAGCTAAAAAAATTCAATGTAATCATATTGATTTATCATTATCAAGAAATTTAGCAATAAATGATAAATGAATTAATAACATTAAAGCTAACATTAAATGGAATTTCAGTTCCATTATCATCGGTTTCTTCTTCCATTGTGATAATTTCCATTGGATGAACAAAATGCATATCACTACTGTTCACCGTCCATTTTTCCTAAATGATAAACAAAATTCTTGCAAATGATGGAATAAAATAAAACAGAGTGAAAGATGATGATAAGAAATGATAAAATACTTAAATACTTAATAGAAAATACGAATTGGAAATGGAAAATAAGAATGAGGAAAAGATGAAATAAAACTTAATAGAAAAAAATTACAACTGATAAGCATATTAATTGATAGATATGAAGCAAATTGACGATTAAATTTTCCATGGTATAGAAATAGGGAAGAAGAAATAGTGGAAAAATTAAAGAGAGATAAATTTCATTTATTTTTAATTTTTATTTTTGAAATTAACAAAATTAACTATGAAAATAAAGCGAAAAATTCCCTAATTCTCTTAGAAATTATCCGCGGCATATAAATATGATTGCAATTTTACCAGGGAAAACTCCCTAGAGTATTTTGCCGAATTATTATCATGATATGCTATCGATAGATCGTGATAATTTTTTCCTCTTTCCGTTTTTCTCTCCCCAATTCCTGATGAATACTCTCATCATATTTTTATTTCATTCAAAACTTATTCTTTCCCTTTTTTTTTCTTTTTTGATTCTTTCAGGGAATATCGGGAAATTTTATGTCAGAGAATACACTAAAAGTACATCATACATAAATTGTTCTATTAAAAGCACTAAATTATACTAAAAGCAACAGAATACATTTTATCACTTATCATTTTTCACATTTCACAAAGAAATTGCGTAATGAACCATCCGGAAGTATAGAAGTACGAATGTGCTAATGCCAAAAAATTAAATTTAAAAAGCTCACGAAATTTAAAGGAAGCAAATTTTTTTCTTCTTTCATGATAAAAACGACAATGGCGAAGAATGCCTTATATATATATACCAAAATCTATGATATCATACATATATATATATATATAATTTGAATTGATAGGTATATATATATATATCAATTCAAATTTAACACGCATTAAATTAAATCAAAATCTAATTTGAAATAACAAAACTTCGTTAATATCTGATTTAAATCAATTTTCTTAAAAAAAAAAAGAGGAAGAGAAATATATTGATATCTCTTATTTTGTTGTTAATATAACAAACTATACATATTGATCATATGATAATTAAAATCTATGGTGTTATAATATTCAAGTAAATTTTTAATAAATTTCCAAGAAATACCTGAGTTACAGCGGGTTCCATATTTTTAAGTTGATTTTGCAGGGTTTCAATACGTTGCAGAGCACGTTCCAATTGTATTCCTTCTACCGATGTTTCGCGTAAACTCTTCAAATAAATTATTTTTTAAAAGAGTATGAAAAAAAAAACGAATTCATTTAAATCTTCTTCATTTTTTTTCTTGAGCTTTTAAATTCCAATTTTAATTCTTCCTTCAAATTTTCACTTCTCTACAGTTTCGAAATTAATTAAAAATCACAATTTTCTTTTTTCAATATTCCATTGTATATATGTAATTGGAATACATATATATAATGGAATACTGAAAAAACAAGAACTGATTTATATATATATATTATAATGGATCTGGTTCGATATAATGCAACCTTAGAATGATTTTTAGAAATGATATTTAGATGATATGATAATATATTAATTGAGTGTCATCAGCAAATGGATGCAAAAAAAAACGGATGAAACAGTAAATATCGCACATTTGACCACAATTATTCGACATGTATCATCATGTGATATCCTATGACCCAATGTCAACCCAGTATTTTTACTACAATTCGATTATAGTATCGGATAGTGTATTCAACACCTTACTCCACTACATCATCACTATCTAACAAATTCAATGACCATAAACAAACATTTTTTTTTCATACATGTTTAAAAGTTGCTGTTTCTGATGTAACGTTAATTTTTGTGAAATTACTAAAGTAATTAATTGCTTTGATTATTTCTATGATATACACTAATTAATTATAGAATAGAATATCAACAAAAATTTTCAAAACTTACTTAAAATGATCTATTGAACGTTTATTATGAAAAAGATGAATTAAGATTGTCATTGCATAATTAATTAGTATATATCTTTAAATTTCAATTAATTAACTTTTTTTCTGTAATTTTTTGAAACAATTAATTTACGATTATTTCTATGATATATTCATTACAGAATAAAATACTAACAAAAAATTTCAAAACTAAAATAATTTATTGAACATTTATTATGAAGAAAAAAAATGAATTAAGATTATTATTGTGTAATTAATTAGTATATACTTTCAAATTTCAACTAATTAACTTTTTTCTGCAATTTTTTGAAACAATTAATTTACTCTAAATAAATGATTTTCATTTTATTTTAAAATAAAGTATAAATATTTTTTTGTTTTACTTCAACGTGTTGACGTTCCTCTTCCAACATTTGTCGAATAATTTTCACTCTTTTTCGCTTCCATTCATCTTTCCGTTCGTTCTAAAAAAAAAAGGGAAAATCAATTTTTAAAGAACTCTTTATAGTCCTGGATCGTATAATCTTTAAATCTTTTGTTTTAAAATTTAAAAGTTAAAATTTTATTAAAATTGAAAATATGCTATTTTCTATTTTGGAATGAAATAATAATAATAATAATATTAATTAATTATATAATTTTTCTCAACAAATCGTTTCGATATTTTATATTTATTTAACAACGAAAATTTCATTTTAAATTTTTTTCACTTTTCTCTTCTTCTTCTTCGAAGAAACAGAAGAATTGGATTTTAATTATTTAAAACTAATTTCAATTTTTATCATTTTCAAATCTTTTTTTATATCCAGTAAAAATATACCTCGATAAGTATGGGTTCAGTGATAACCGGTCTACTTTCATGATTTTGCATTTGTAAAATTTCTCGAACATCCAATGTAAGAGATTCCGGTGGTGGTCCTAATAATGTTAGCGCTACCGTTTGGCCTCCTAATGTAAAAAGAAAAATTTTTAGTAATGATAAATATATATTCATTAATTCTGAAAATAATTTATTCGAAATTATTCGTATAAACTTCATTTTGAGACTAATTGGGATTCTATTCATTCTTTAAGAATGTTTTGAAAAAATTTTCCAAATTTAAATTTGGGACGTAAAAGTGAATCCAACAGGTACAATCCGCAAATGTGCAACAATCAGTAACGAAAATGGTAGCAAAGCAAAAATAATAATTTAAAATAATCGTAAATAATTTTTAATAATAATAATCAGTAATAACAATTGATAATAATAATTAATAATAATTAACGATAATGATAATTAATAGCAATGAAAATTTAGTGATAATTAATAATAATGATTTTATAAGTGGTGATGGCGATAATGATAGCAGCAATAATGATGATAATAACATTGTTAATAATAGCTAATAATGATGATGATAATAATAATAATATTAATAATAGTAATAATAATAATAATAATAATAAATAATGAAAAATAATAATAACAATATAAGCTAAGAGAAGATGAAAAAGTTAAGAAATTATAGGAATCAAAAATTTTTTAAATGAATGAAGATGACAAACTTTTTTATAAATTAAAAAATCCTAGTAAATTTGATGATAAAACAAAATAGTGCTCTTTGCCATCTGGCTGTAAGCTGTCAGAAATGTTCAACAAAACATATGTTTGAAATAAAAAATTTTTGGCGGTTATGCTTCAAAAACTTAAGCTCATTTAAAACAATAACAATAATAAGCACTTAAATTTTAACAGAAAGTTACCGTAGGATTGTGAAATTTTCATTATTCGAAATGTCATGAAGTTAAAATAAAAGAGAGGGAAAAAAAGAAGCGGGAATGAGAAGAGAAACAGAAGAAATTTACAGATTTTCTGATAATTTTCCGTATAATTACTGATAATTGGAATTTTCAGATTTTCTGATAATTACTGATAATTGGAATTTTCAGATTTTCTGATAATTACTGATAATTGGAATTTTCAGATTTTCTGATAATTAGTGATAATTGGAATTTTCAGATTTTCTGATAATTAATGATAATTACTTGTTTCAGATTATTTAAAATTTCTAAGAATTTGTCAAAACAAAAAGAAGGAATAAAAAAATATTATCAAAAAATCGATAAATTAATTTCATTTGTGAAGAAATTATTGCCTTTGGAGAAATATTTAAATTTAACGTAGAAGATAAAAAAGAATGTGAATTTAAATTCGAATACGAATATATGTTTCGGGGAAGTATTTATAAAGGGAATATTTTAATTTCAATACATAAGTGAGGTCAATTTTTGTGGATGAACTTAAAGAGTGAGGTCAATTTTTGTGGATGAACTTGAACTTATAATTATTTCATTTAATCATCCGAAAAGATAATGTTGTATGAAGAGAAGAAGAATTCGAAATAATCATATTTAGCATAGCTTATATGTGAAATAAAATAAAATGAAGGTATTCTTCTATTTGTTTGATTTGTTAGAATGTTTAATAATGCTTATTATGTTTAGCTAATTTTTGATAATAATAATGATGATAAAGATAATTACAATTATAATGATAACAATAATAGTGATAATGTTAGTGATAAGAATAATCATGATGGCGATATTGATGTTGATAATATATCTTTTCCAATTTGTTAATATTTTCATATTTAAAATGAATCAAATTTTTGCTTAATATATTTAAAAGTATTGAAAATTTGATTAGAAACTAAAATTTTTTTTGTAAATAAAACTATATTAAGTTAGGCTAAAAACAATATATGAAATTATAGCAAAGGAAATAGTTAATTAAACGAATTAAATTATAATAATTATTATAATTGTAATAATATAATACTAACAATTATACTAAATAATGATGATAAAAGCATTCATAAATACAAAACGTTAGCATTGTAATATATTACAACGATAGTTTACAGTGTTGTAAAATAGCTACGATATGGCAACCATTTACGGAATTTATTGAAAGGAAAAGAATTGCTTTCATCGAAAAATTTATCCCTGATAAATTTCAGTTCAAATTTTTGCAAGAATGTAATCTTATACGATTTAATATCAATAATTATTTATCATTTAATGTTTTTATTTTAAACTAATCAATAATACTAAATTTCCAAACATTTTGTATCGTTAAAAAAAAAGTACATAATATTTATAGTTCTATCGTTAGGAAATGATGTTATAGCATTAGAAAGATTTGAAAAAAAATAGAAAGCATAAAATTTTACCAGAAATCATTCGAACCACCTCAAGATGATTAGAAGCAGTAACAGGCATTCCATTAACTTTTAAAATTTTATCACCCTGTCTAACACCAGCATGAAATGCAGCACCATCAGGTTTAACAGTATGAACAAATACCGGGTGATCGCCTGTTACAGTGAGGCCGTAGCCATCCACCTGACGGGTGACCACCACACAACGCTGTATAAATGAAACTGTCGACTGCAGGGCTAAATCATAACTTTTTAAATGTTTAAATTAAAATTTAAATAATGTAATATAGATGGCGTATAATAGCAATAGCAATCAATAATGCATATATTATGATAACAAAACCCTAAATGGCAATATTCAACGATTTCTTACTTGAAATAAATTGCATCACATTTCGTTTGAATGAGTGAATGAATGAATGAATGAATGAATGAATGAATGAAAATGAATGAACGAAAATGAATGAATGAATGAATCTAAATGAATAATTATTCATTCATTTCTAAATGGATAATTTAACTTATATTATTTTAGCTACAAATTATTCCTATAAATGATGGAATTATTTCGCATAATAATATCATTCAGTTCTTGCATTAATTCCTTTTCCGGAATTATAATGGTATCATGATATTACATTGGAATGAGATGATTCATTTTGCAGCAATGAATAATAATGCTTGAGTAATACGTAATATTTGAGGTGAAGCAAAAAATTTTTCCAACACATAAATATCAATCAGTAATGTTATGTTATAAACATGCGAATAACATTACATTTATTCTTTCTCTTATAGCAATGAAGATGGGAATGTTATGTTGAAAAAGGGAAAACAATAGTTTAAAATGAATAGATTTTAAAAGATTGTGAAAGCCATATCCGGAAACTATTAACTTACCAAATAGATCCCAAAAAAAAATTCGTTTGTTTTTAATGCAAATACTATGGATACATATATATGTACTACGATAGATATATATACTACGACGGATACATATATATATCCGTCGTAGTATATATATCCATTTTATTTAAGTCAACTTTAATGGCAAAAAAGTTTGAGCATACTATATATATATATATATATATATATATATACTACGATGGATACATATACAAACAAATCATAATGATAAAAATATTTGAGTAAAAAGTGAAAAAAAATTTGCTCAAAGTTTTTTGCCATAAAAGCTGATTTAAATAAAATGGCTTTACCTGATAAGAATATCGTAATAACTAAACATTGAATGATCGTAAAATTTGAATATTCATATTCCACCGTAGAAATTTATTAAATTCGCAAAATAATTTCGTTCAAAAAATTTGGTAGAAAACACATTGTTGCAAAAAATTTCTTTTTTGATAAAATTGATAAACTGCAAAATTTCGAATTTATAAAATATTTTAATTAATTGTTGTTTAATTGCGAGAGAAAAGAACAAATATATATATATATATATTCAAGTATTTAAAAGAAATTAAAGATTTCCAAAATTTTAAAATTTCATAAAGAGATTAAAATTTTTTCAAAAATTATAATTCTATGAATATGTAAAGCTATTTATATATTACTATGTTTATATTGCTCAGTTAAACTGCATATAAATTTAATTCGTTCATCTAACAATAAATTTTCTTTTGAATTAGATCATCGTACTTAATATATCATCGTATCATATAAAATAGAAATAGTTTCGAAATATGAAATCACACTTATTATTCATTAATGTAATATTAATTAAACGGTATAATAAAACAATTATTAATTATGTATAGCTAATTTTTTCTTTCACCGCAAATAAATTATTTATAGCAATTGTGAAATAAAAATGGAAAACTTGTGACAGCTATTAATATCATCATTTGTTTTTGAATACAAATGAATGAAAGAAAAACTTATGGACAGCTATTAATATCATTAATATCATCATTTTTTTTTTTTGAATTCAAATGAATTTAAATTTTTTTTGTTTTTAAATTATTTAAATTAATTAATTGTAAAAGAAGGAAAAGAAAGTAAGTAACGAAAAAATTTTTTACCAATACTTCCGATAATTCATTCAGTCGATAATTCAACCTTATTTTTATCCTTTTTCATTCATTCTATCCACATCCTATACTAATTCACTTCACATTATATGAAAACTGCAAATAATTGAAATTCAATTTTACGAAGAAAGAAAGAAAATTTCAACATTAAGCTAATTTCATTCCACAAAAAATTGCACCCACAAATTTGTTTTTAATTGAAAAATATCCAAAATAAAATTTCATATGATATTTTATAGGAAATGTTTTTGGCGAAAATGAAGCAACCTTTTTTTATGTATTAAAACAAATATATTAAAGAAATATTGGAAAAATGAAATGTAAAGTAGAAATTAAAATAACGTTTATCGTATCCGTGAAGTATGCTTTTTTGTCCATTTTAATTTGGATGTATATATTTTAACAGAAATTCTGAAAATGAAATCAATAATCTCGTAAGTATTAAATGTTAATTTAAATGCATATATTTAAACAGAAATTCTGAAAATGAAATCAATAATTTCGTAAGTATTAAATGTTAATTTAAATGCATATATTTAAACAGAAATTCTGAAAATGAAATCAATAATTTCGTAAGTATTAAAATGTAAAACGAATTATGAGGGATAATATCATTTTTATGAAAATGGTATAATTCCCAAATGATAAATTTTTGTTTTAAATTTTACTTTTTAATGTTGCCTCCCCCCCTCCCCCCTCCCCCATAATTGTAACTTAGAAGAAGAAGAAGAAGGAAAAGATGTTATTAGAATCTAACGCTGGCAATAATTTTCCTATTTGTTTTACATTAATGATTTCAAGCAAAAAATTCCTAAAATTCATCTTTAAAAAAACAAACAATTGTTGACTAAAATAATGTTTTTGAAAGTTGAAGAAAAACAAAAAATTTTTGTTTAATAATTTTTTTGTGAAAATGAAAAAGAAAAAGATGAAAATAATAAAGGAGAAAATTTTAACATAAAATTTATTAAATTTTTAATTAATTAAATAAAGTAAATAATAGAATAAACAAATTTTAACTTTAGCATTTTTACAAAATAAGCGAAAATTAAAGATTGGGAAAGAATAAAATTAATTAATTGTAACTGATATTAGCGATACATGCCAATGACCATATTTTAATTAATGATATATATATATCGTAGCAAAATTTACAATGATTTTATTTATGTTAGATTATCATTAATTTAGTATACAGTTAATTTTACGAGTATTTTCAAAAATAAAAAACTATTTTTGCTTCATCTTTTTAATTAAAATATTAATTTGAAATTCTTTTCAAATTATAGTAATATCACAATGCATGCTAGTAATAGTAATATCACAATTTATGCTAATAAATATAGTAATATTACAATGTATGCTAATAAATAGAGTAATATTACAATGTATGCTAATAAATATAGTAATATTACAATGTATGCTAATAAATATAGTAATATCACAATGTATGCTAATATAGTAATATCACAATGTATGCTAATAAATATAGTAATATCACAATGTAAACTAATAAAACACTATCCTAAACTGTATTGCAATTCATTTGAAGTATCATAAAATTCTTATGAAAATAATTATGATTAATTAAATCATAATTATTGTTAATAAGGAGGGGAAGAGGATGAAACTATAAGACATAATGATATATATAAATTCTACAACTCTAAATTGACGAATTTTTTTAAAAATAAATTCAAATAAAATTGTTACCGGAATTTCAAATTTTTTTCCGTAAAAAAATGAAAGAAAAAACGGAAAGGATAATATTGAATAGTATCAACATGAAATTGCAAAAAAATTTACTGAAAGTAAAATACATAACCGATATTATTGAATTTTTCATAAACCTCCTTAATATGACGTTATCGGATGATATCCAAAAAAAAGTTCAATAGAGTTCAAAGTTGAATGTTTTTATATCATCAAACAGGTATGCCAACATTTCAGCTGTAATTATAAAATATATATTAGCATAATTTTATCCTTCTTTTCTTTACATCTCAATTTTTTACAGCAAACAGTTTATAGAATATTAAATGCATTTGATGTAATCAAATTAAGTGGTCAACAATCACTAAATGACCATAAGATTCATGTTAGCCTTTCGGATGCAACAGTTAACCTAAAATTTTATAATTTGATGCACTATTTGTTGATTTACTTATGAACACATTAATTACTTGTTTATTTGTTTACATGTTTATTGTCAAAATCATATATTAAATTTTCACTTATTTTTAACGGATTATTTATTTATCTCATTTTTTGTTTATTTTTAGCGATGTAAAAAAAAAAGAAATTTAAATGCATAAAATAAAATAATATTTGTTTGTGTGAACAAAAATATTTATTAAAGAAATTTATTTACTAAACTTATTATTACATTGATTTACTTACTATACATATATTCTTCATTTATTTACTTATTCATTTTCTCTAATTTGTGAATTAAAACAGGAAGTATCATGTAAAGCTAAACTGAACTTCATTAAATCATTTAATGACAGTCGCTATTTAGCAATAAACATAAATGAGATACTTTCAAATAGTGAATTTAGTGAATAAATTAGCATACGATAGAATTGTGAAATGATAATGAACGAAGTTGTAATTGTTATAATTTCGAAATAACGAATTCATTTAAACATTATTGGGTTTAAATGAATTTTTATGAAATTTCATTTCATCCTATCCTTTCTTATTTTACCTTAACTTTTCAAAAAAAAATTGAAAATTAGAGATTAAAATTTCAGTGATAAAATGTCTAATCAATAGAAGTGGAAATTGAAAGAAGAATGATATTAACAAATTTAATCATATCAGAAATATTTCAATTCACGTATAATCAAACATTTCACATACATATATATATAGGATGTAAATTTAAATTTAACATTAATTGAAGATTCATTTAATTAAATTGTAATTAAATATAATAAAATAATAGCATATATTTTTTTTGAGCATAATAATTAAAAGGAGTTAGAAAATTATCAAAGAAATTTGATAATCTTCACATTTAGTAATGATAAAAATGAGGAAGTTTTATCAGATGATTAATTAGAAATTGAAAAAAGGGAAATAATTAAAAAGGAAATGATAATGAAAAGTTGAAAGATGTAAAAATAATGATTAAACGAGGAAGGAAAAAATAGAAAGGAAAGAATGAATGCTTAATTGGAATTAGCATGAGAAACATTACATAATTTGTAATTTAATTTGAAAAAAGAAAAATAGAAAATTAATGAAATTTAAATTCAAATACATTACTAAAGATAACTAAGACATAAAAGGAAAGAGTTAAAGGTGGAAAGAAAGGAAAGAAACGAATAAAA